ACCAATTGATTTTTAGAAAGACATTGTGTCACTAAGATTATAAAAGAGTTGTTGAGTCCTCTTACGGCTGAGTACTACTGGGCATTGCAGGACCTTTTTCTTTCTAAACATACATAGGACTGTGCACTACTATAATAAAATAGTAAGCTGCTCCGAGATGTTTGTAGTGGATGGGTTAGAAAAGCTTTTAATTAATAAATAATAATAAAATAGAACATCTTTCATACAAATATTAATAATAAGTATTTAATTGAGGCTTTTTAGCTAACAAAAATACTAGGAAGCATCATGGGAAAGTTGATACAATTATGAACTCTTCATAAATGGTAAGTAATTATATTCTACCTTTTCTATAGCCTTGGCAGGTCATTAAATTAAATGAATTGGCAGCCGACTAAGAACAGCAAAAGTAATAATTTTCCTATGCAGTTGATATACAGAGTTATTGGTGCAAGATGTTTTGCAATCGTGGTTGGAATTGTACCCTAGCATACACTGCTTTTAACAAGAATTAAACTTATTAATGAAGAATGTGTCTAGTTGCCACAACAGATAGAAAACAAAATCTCTGTCTTCACAGGGAGTATACCTCTGTTATCAAATGCAGTAGCCGGGAAGCATTGACCTGGCCTACTTTTGAACTGCTGCCAGGCCACTGTTGCAGGCAGGGTGCTGATGGCTCTTTGCGAGACACAGCATGGTGATAGTTCTTGTCCTTGCTTATGAGACGCTACCTCCTCCTCAAACAGATATGAGTGTTTAGGCAAAGGACTAGACCCAGTATTCTTTTATTTACACTGAAGAGCTGTTTCAAAGAAGGCAGTGCATGTGTGTTGCCCGAAAGTTCTGCCTTTTGGAAATGCTCAGAAGTAACTTTAGAAAGCTGCACATTACCCCAAAGTGTGTTGATATCGCACGATAATTACTGAACAGTGTTTTTTTCCAGAATGCAGTTCACACGTTCCATTGGATGAACATAGTAAAGACCTAAGGAAAATCCTGCTGGGGCACACCAGATGCCATGTAGTGCAGCTTTATCTGGAAGACCGCATGTGCACGATGAAGGCAGCCGTCTGCTCCCACTGCTGTTCCCCAACAACCAGCATCCAGTGGCATTTTGAACCTATAGATTCCATAGAGCTGATGTGGTGAATAACCCTTGACAGAGTACTCTGTCTGATTCCCTCTTAAAGCCGTCTAAACTAGCAGCCAACATCATGCGTTGGCTCTTCTGGCATGACCTACCCGTATATTACATTCATCATCTGAGACCCTCTTCCAGATGCCTCTTGTGTGGAGGGGGAACCTCAGAAATGGGGCATAAAGCAGAGGAGGTCCCGCCTCCTTCCTTCCTTCCTTCCTTCCTTCCTTCCTTCCTTCCTTCCTTCCTTTAAAACATCTCTATGCCGCCCCCATCGCAACGAAGCCTCGGGGCAGCTCACAACAAAAACAAAAACAAACAAATTCATACAAAAATTATACACTAAAAATATTGAAACCTGGTGCATCCCGGCTTAATTTTTTTTAAAATCCTGCATAATAAATTAACACTTAAAATAAGTTTTAAATAAAAAGGTCTTATCCTGGCGCGGAAAAACAAATAACGACGGCACCAGGCGGACCTCTCTGGGGAGCGCATTCCATAGGTGGGGCGCCACTGCAGAGAAAGCCCTCCTCCGGGTACTCACCCTCCTAATATCATTCATGGAGGGTTCCTGGAGAAGGGCATCTGTTGCTGATCTCAAGGGGTGGGAGGGCATTATGGAAAGATCTCCCCAAAAGAGATCCACTTGGATTTAATTTTGTTGTCTGTTAGGTGCCAGGTTAAGACCCTCCTCTATTCTAAAGCAGTTGTTGCCATATGATGAAAAATTATTTAGGCCCTGGATCCTTAATTGTGTATCATGTATATATGGGTCTGAGTGTGTGCGTGCTGCCTTTTCATATATTTTTATGTAAATAGTTTTAATATTCACCTAAGGAGAAGGAACAACTCCTTGGAAAAGACCTTGATGCTGGGGATGATAGACAGCAAAAGAAGGGGACGGCAGAGGATAAGGTGGCTAGATGGAGTCACTGGGGCAGTGGGTGTGAGCTTGTGTAGACTCCGACAGATGGTGGAGGACAGGAGAGCCTGGAGGAATGTTTTCCATGGGGTCGTGATGGGCTGAGTATGACGTTGTGACTAAAAAAAACAAAAAAAGTTTTAATATTATGTACAATATGTTTAAGATTTTTATGGTTTGTAAAGTGCCCACAGAACATTGGTGATAAGGTGGTATAGAAATTAATTAGTCTTAGGCAGTAAATGCCATGCTAAAATAATTATGCATTCCTTATCTGACCTAAATCTACAGTCAGTCAGTCTAGCTAAATTAGCCCCAAGCTCTGGAATTATGAACAAGGAAGAAACTTCTCTTTATGTATTTCCTTCATAGCAGTTGCTTCATAATATTACACATTCTTCTCTTTTAAAAAGTTCTAGATGCTGTATTCTTTCCTCCTTGGTAAGGTGCTCCAACTCCTTGGTCATATTTGGTTGCCCTTTTCTGTGCCCTCTTGATCTCTTCAGTATGACCAGAACTACATGCATTATTCCAGCATAGCCACGTGAGAGATTTGTATAACGGCCTTACAGTGGTGGGATTTAAACCTTCTAAAATCCATATTAGTGTGTTTATAGAGCCACTACAATGGCTCAATGTTAAGGGAGAGCCATTATAACCAGAAATTGGGGGAGAGGGTAATAACTCTATGGCTTATACTGAGAAGATAGCTCAGTGGATTGACTTGAATCTTGGAGGTACAGGCAACATGACTTTAGCGATGGTCCATGCAGCTTTGGAAGTAGAAGTGGCAAGAAATGAGTTCTTTGTATAAGATGAAATCTGATGAGTGTTTACAAGAAATTTGACAAGTAGTCTAATTTTATTACCATAAACCAGTGATGGCGAACCTTTTAGAGAGTGCCCAAACTGCAACCCAAAACCCATTTATTTATCTCAAAGTGCCAATACTACAAGAAAACCTGAAAACTGACCAGCCATTCAAAAGCTTGGACGAGTCACGGCTAATGAGTCGTGTCTCATGAAGTCATCGCCTGGTGTCACTGCTCTTTTCTGACCATGTGCATGGCCCCTGTGTGTGCTGTTATCAGATGCTCAGCTGCTTGGGAGATGCTGGGGTGACTTGGCTTGCGTGCTGACAGAGAGGGCTTTGCATGCCCGCTGTGGCAGACATGGCACAGGTTCACCACCACTGCCCAAGCTTTTTCTGCACAGCTCATCCTTTCTGCCCATTCTAAACACATTTCAAGCATCAAAAACATGACCGGACACCTCATTTTTGTGACCCTAACCCTGCCCTCGTGCACACCCCAACCCTAATAGAGGGTGAAAGTTCAATTGAAAATAATGCGATTTTGAAAAACCCTTCTTTGAGTAGCTGTTTCTGCACAGCTCAACATTTCTGCACATTCTAAACACATTCCAACCATCAAAATCATGCTAGGACACCTCGTTTTTGTAACCCTAACCCTACCCTGGTGCACACCCCTAACCCTAATAAAAAGATAAATTTCCATTGAAAAGAGAGGGATTTTTAAAAAGCCTTCCTTGAGTAGTGGTTTCTGCACAGGTCATCATTTCTGCCCATTCTGAACACATTCCAACCATCAAAATCATGCCAGGACACCTTGTTTTTCTAACCATAACCCATTGATGGTGAACCTTTTAGAGACCGAGTGCCCAAACTGCTACCCAAAACCCACATATTTATCGCAAAGTGCCAACACTGCAATAAAACCTGAAAACTGAGGTTTTAGTTTAGAAAAAACAACTCACAGCCAGTCCAAGCAAAATATATTTATCCTTGGCACCGCACAGCATGCGGAAGCTCAGACAAGTCGCAACTAATGAGCCACGGCTCCTTATGTCATTGCCTGGCGCTGCTACTCCTTTCCGTGCATGCGCATGGCCCCTATGTGCACTGTTATCCAATGTTCGGCTGCTGGGGTGATGGTGGGGCGACTTGGTTCACGTGCCAACAGAGAGGGCTCTGCATGCCCCCTGTGGCATGCATGCCATAGGTTTGCCATCATTGCCATAGACTTACATGTAGTTTACTTTGCACTAATACTGTTTCTTTCTTTGTACAGCCTCTTTTGGAAAACATTTTAGGTAAGGAAGGGATAGTATGTGCTTTCCCCAAGAAGAAATATAATGTATTTTTAGGTTGGTTGGGGGAACAGCATTTTTTCCAATTTGCACCCAGGATATCTAGCAGACCATCTTCCCTTATGTATAGCAAAATGGCCCTTAAGATCTTCAGATAAGGGTTATCACAAAATTATTAGAAAGTCACCCTACAATACTGTGTTGATGGGCCTTCTTATAACAGCAAGCACCCTGTGTAGAAAATTTCCCTTCTATAGAGCAGGAGAATGGACATATGACACCTTTCTGACACTTTCTGAAATACACTTGTTTGTAATTCTTGGTTTGAAATTAATTTAACTATTCCATTTTTAAATTGCATTTTAAATGTGATTTAATATTTATATGTAAACCTTTTGAGGCTTTTTAATACTTGTAGTACTGAAATATTAAAAAGGTAAAGTTTTCCCCATGACATTAAAGTCCAGTTATGTCTGACTCTTGGGGGCGGTGCTTATCTCCATTTCCTAGCCGAGGGAGTCAGCATTTGTCTGCAGAGAATTTCTGTGGTCATTTGGCCAGTGTAATTAAACCCCAAAGTGCACGGAACATTAACAGAATTGTGTGCGGCTGTATCATAAACATTTCTTGGAAGTATGCATTTTCTTCTGAAAATATTTTGATCCACTTGATACCAGGTTTTGATTATATTTGGCTGTATTATATAATCTGTTGATTCTTACCTATTAAAGCAGCCAAGGGTTTTCACTCCTAAGTATCACAAGTTACTGTGCATTATTTGTCTTTGTAAAGGTTACCAAGCAAATTATTCTCTCTCTTTTACAGACTTGGATTATCACTTGCTTTTATCTTCAATTGCTCCTACTTAATCCTCTTGTCAAAGCCCAAAGTCGCTGTGGGAATCCTGTGACAGATGATGTGAATAACATTGGAAAACTGGCAAGTGGCTTTTCTTTAAACTCCTGTCTAAATCCAAAACAGTTTTAAATGAAAGAGAAAGAGACACTCTGGGGAAACATGTTGACTGAAGCTCTTTTTGCCTTACGCAGATTGAGAGATGGGTTCACAAAAATTGTTAGCATTTTTACAGCACACAAGAAAACCTCTTAATGCTTCCTTTTCAGCTCAAGGTTTTACTGGAACAGCAAAAGATCTCCAGTGCCCTTAGTGTGTTTTTTTCAGGGCAGCTGTTAGTGAATTCTCCTTTTTGCTTTCCTCTCAAATGTACGGTTGATGTCTTAGCTCATTTTTCTGAAAAATGAACCCACGGGTTTTAATTGCTGACAAATATTTTCTTGATTGGGGAGCATTCTTGCCTTTGTTTTTAAAAATGTTTTAGAAAGAAAACTTAAGCATGTGTGTTTTCATAATTTAAAAGGAAAATTTTTTAAATGGATTCTATTGTATCAAGGCTTACTCCCACTCCTAGCCGATCTTCCTATAGCAGTCTTTGCACCATCATTCCCAGGATTCTTAACCATTGGCCCTGTTGACTAGAGCTGTTGGGAATTGAAGTCTTAAATATCTGAAGAGCGCTTGGTCAAGAAAGTCTTGTTAGGTCATCACAATGAGAAACAAACAAGAGGGATCTGATTGGGAAGCTATTTGTAATGCCTGGCTTTATATATTATGCCCCTGAGTTCACAGCATGTAGAATTGCATGTAGCCATCAACAATGTATGCTGATGTTAAGAACTGAGTGATTTTAGAAAGGCTGTCTTGCCTTCCAGAAAAATTATGTTCCCAAATGTCATTCACATCCTTCCATTATTTAGTGAGAAGCTCCTTCCTTGTTGGAAATCAGTAAAGAAAAATAGGCCCAGCTGGCACATAAAAACATCACAGGGGTTGTTTCAGTCATGGTTTATCAGGACCACATGGGAATGAGCAAGCAAGTATGACTTCACCCATACATGTCTCTTCGACTTTAAGAATATAAGAGTAGCCCTGGTGAATCAGATTCAGGGTCCATCTGGTTCCAGCATTCTGTTAACACCATGATGAACCATTAAATCCACAGGCAAGACATGAGTGCAAGAGCACTCTCTTTCCTATGTTCCACAGCAACTAGTGTACATAGATACAGTGACTCTGACATTAGTGGCAGCAAAAGCAAATCAGTACTAGCAAGTACTGCTGGCCTTATCCTCCAAGAATTTGGCCATTCCCCTTTCAAGACACCCAAAGTGGTGCCATCTGCATATCTTGTGGAAGTGGATTCTGTACTTTAACTATGTACTATGTGAAGGAATTCTTCTGTTTGTTCACTTGGAATGTCCCACCAGTCAGCTTCATGGGATGGCCCAGGTTCTACTACTATCAGAAAGGAAGAAATGTGTCTTCCTATATACTTTCTCTACACCATTCTTAATTCTGTACAGATCTAGCATGTCTAAAAACCAGCTGTTGTGACCTCATAGAATGCTTGATCCAGTCTGATCTTAATTTTCCATTTCTGTACTCTTCCAACCTTACACTATCTGTTTTAGGCATGATAATAAAACTGTAGACTGAATTCTAAATGTAATTGCTCCAGGGGTAAGAGAAATATGGTTGTGGCAAATTAAAAAAAAATCTTTTTCTAATTATGCCTAACATGAAGTTGCCTTTTCATAGGTGGACTGACTGTTTCATGCTTCTTATCCATAAGAAATTGTCTGGATTGTTTGATGTAATTTCCAAACTGGAACTCATGTTTCATGGATTCCCCTGAAAAATATTTATGGTCAAAGAACCACCTGATTCATCACAGTTGGTGGGATCTAACTCTGAACTGGAAAAAATAGGATTCCCAAGGTGAAAAAGAGTTGACTTATTTTTCTGACATGAATATTGGCAAGACACTGACTTAGAAGCAGGTTCATAATATTTCTGAAGGGTATTATTCATAAGAGCATTTTTAAAAATAGAGACATTTGTCTGAATGAACAGGCAAGTTTGACTTAACTATCATGCCACTGCAGATGTGTATTGCATTGTATTAGTGAAATATTTATTTATTTATTTGTTTGTTTGTCAAGTTTGTATGCCATCCATTACTTCCATCTCTGGATAGCTTACAGCATTATTTCAGAATAAAATAAGTTAAGTATATCCATGAGAAAATCAGCTTACATAGGAGATTCATCTGGTTAAATATGAAGCAGTGGGGATCAATGTGCGAGGAATCCATTTTGTGTGGAAAATCCATCAGATTTCCTGGTTTTGACTTCCCAGACTCCGGGCTGCTTTGTTGTGGCCCAAAACCTGATCCCAACTCCCCTCTTTTGCATCCTGCAGTCACTCCTGATGGAGAAGGCTGCCAGTTGCACAACTGGGCATCAGCAAGCATACATGGACTTCCTCTAGACTCGGCTCACTTTGCCGAGGACTGGGCTGAGTATTTTATTTTTATTTATTTATTAAAATATTTCTATGCCGCCCCTTGCCGAAGCGTTGGGGTGGCTTACAACACAATAAAATACAATAAAATACAAAAATAACAATATAAAATTAACAATATAAAATAAATAACAATGTAAAAGAAGTCGCCCTGGCTAGATAAATAAGCAAATATTATTAACAATTAAAATGACGTTTAAATAAAAAGTATGAGAGGAAGTCCATGGAATCCCAAAAGGGTTCATCCCAACCCTTAGTATGATACCAGCATCATAATGATTATAATGACAAAATATTGTCTAACTAGGAAGCTAACTAGAAAAGTGAGCAGCAGATTCCTGTTTTAGTCTGTGAGTCACCACTGACTTTGTATGAAGCAGCCTTCTCAATTAGCCATTGATGGAATGATGTAAGCTAATTCCCAAAACATCCAAGAGGCACCAGGGTGGATAAACCCCATATAAAGTATGTGTAGAGATCCATGCAGGCTGAGAACCTCCAAATTTTCTGCTTTCTGTTTTGTTTTGGTTTGTTTTTTTGCTTTGCTCAAACTCTCCTCTCCACAGTCACTTTGGTCCAGGTGTGCCTTTGAGCAGATAGTTCCTAATCCAGGCTGTCCCATGTTTTCAGACCTAAGGATAGCATCTGGTTTTGGATGGGGCTGATCATGCATAAATGCTTACATGTGTACAGATGCAGAGTCGGTGGGCTGCTTCAAGGCCCCTGACGAAGGGAGGAAATAGCTCCTTCCCGGTATCTCCAACTGAGATTGCTGCTTTTTGGCCCCCACTGGGATGGTAAAGCTGTGGTCCCTGCCAGGTAGGTAGGATAAGCCTTCAGCAGAAGCCCTGGGGTGGGAAGCAGGTGGGCAAATGGCCAAGGTGCTGTAGTGCCACTGAGACTGTTAAGCAGGGAAAGACTGGTGGTGTGCTGATTAGGCAAGACATTTGGTCTGAAGTCTGTTCCAAACAAAATCACTAGTAAAATGCATACAGGATTCACTGGGGCATTTCAGTAAAACAGCCAAAGTGGTGTGTTGTGAGCAAGTGACCTCTGCAGTGCAAGCAAAATTCCCACTTGCATAAGGTTGGTTCCTATCTGATTAGAAGTTGGGACGGTTCCAAGTGTCCATCTGCACTCGGACCTGTTAGGAGTGTTATATCATGGATCTGGGAAAAGGGGAAAAAAGAACTTTAGATTGCAACCAAATTATTTAAAATGTTTTTAGAGCTGTCTACAGTCTTTCTTCAGATATCTAGCAGTATGTCCACATGCCTATCTGTTTCAGATCCTTTCATCGTTTCATATGTCAGCCTGTTCATTTTGCTTCTTTATCCTTATTCAGTATGATAACATTTTCAGATTTGGCTGCAATTAAGATTGCTATTCCACAATGTTGCAGCTTTATTTTATTGACATAATTAATTTTATTTATCCTTTTCTGAAGGCTTCTGATTGTTTTGTTTTGGAGGAAGGCATTTCTGAGAACAGCCTGGAAACATTGTACGCATAGGAGATGGATTTTCTATTAACTGTGCTGGCACAGTACAGTGTTACAATAATTATCCCTGCTATTCACAACCCTCTTACTCCAGAGTCTTCAAGTTGATGTCACTGGAATTACTGAGCCATAAGTTGTTTCTGTGTTACAGTGTACAATGAGAAAATATCATTTGCTTTTCCATTGCTCCATTCAGATAGACATAAATTGTGATTGTTGGATGGGATGAAGAAGTTTAGAAAATGTGCTTCATTGGTGGAAATAAATCAGAAATACATTTTGTTACGGGGAAATAAACCAGAGAAAAAATGTACAGTTAGGAAATAAAGTGAGAATCACAGTTCTGCACGGAAGAAGCAAGCTACAAATGTAGGGCTGGGTTGAAGGAAATGAAAGGGAAGAACAAGCAGCTGTCCCAAAGGAAGCTGTGCAGCATTGTTCAGCTATTCAAATATTCAAATAGCAAATGTTCTGCTACTACACAAAAGCCACATATAAGCTTTGATCGAAGAGCAAACTTTCTTTTAGCATTGTTTTTGCTCTTGGTTGAATGAAAGGTATTATACAAATAACAATGAAGCTTAAACCATGGGACAGAAATAAACAGATTCTCAGGCCTTTTAGCAGAACACATGATTAATCTTTGACAATAAATTGGTCCACTATAATAAAACTCTTTAGTAGTTGTGTATAGCTTTCTGTCTTTTAATAACGACATAAATTGCCATTCTTGCCATCAACAAAGTATACTCATGGCTTGTTCATAAAGTTTTTTCTCACTTTGATTTATTCTGAAACCCATCTCCATCTAGTTACTGGACAAGATATTGCACTCTTAAAACTGCAGTCGCCTTCCTCTCATTTTAACATCCATTCTTGTCCAATTCTTTCCACCACTCTTCATACACTGTCCCACAATAACTCATTTCTATCTCTTCTCATTCTTTATTTATTAACTTTTAACCAGGCATATACAATTAACTCTGGGTGATTAACATCAAATTAATTTCACAGCCGAATGAAATGAAATTTACTTATATGGTAAAACAAGATACAT